AAGCCTGAGTTTGGGTTATGAACCCTTTCATCATTGCTTCCAAGGAAGTAGATGAATCAACAGGCTGATGTGTTGTATTTTGGAAAGAGGGTTGATGACTTTGTTGTTGAAAACTTGTTTGTTGAAAACTTGTTTGTTGGTTGAAAATCGGTTGGGTAGGTTATTGTTGGTAAAAATTGGGTTGGTGATTGTAGGAATCACTTTGATGTTGTTGTTGGAAACCAATAGGTTCATTCAAGGTTGGAGCATTCCAGAAAATTTTTTGCACTATAAGCTTGAGAATCAGAACAACCCCTATTTTGATTTTCAAAAAAATTAACCGACTCTGGGTTAGATGCACATTGATCAAATGGATGACCTCCTCCACATAATATACATGCTATAAAATTGGCAGTAGGATACGATGTTGCATCAACAGTTCACACATCTGGGCTAACATTCATATTCTTAATCATGTCAGTTATAGATGTGAGTTGTGTTGTAAATGCATTATATGCATCTGTTTCATGTATCCCAACTGTATTATTTTGTATTAATGCATGTGGATCACCCAATATCCATTATTATTTGAAATTTTCTCAAGTATGTCATACCCAGCATTATAAGTACAAGTTGTGAAAGCTCCTCCTRCAGTAGCATCATGCATTTGCTTAGCAACAGTTGTTAAACCATTGTAAAACGTCTCTAGCTGGATATAGTAAGGAATGCCATGGTAAGGGCATTTTCTCAACAACTCTTTGTACCTTTCCCAAGCATAAGGTTTTGCTTCATTATCCATTTGTCTAAACAAACATATTTCATTTATGGATTTAGCATTCCTGTTGGGAGAAAAATATTTTCTCAAAAATTTCTTTACAAGGTCATTCCAAGATATTATAGAATTTGGTTGTAAAGAGTTAAACCATAATTTTGCTCTATCCCTAAGAGAAAATGGAAATAACTTGAGCTTTAAGGCAACATCAGACACTCCAGGGATAAGAAAACAATCAGTTATTTCTATTAAAGATTTTTTTGTGTAAATGAGGCTCTTCAGATGGAAAACCACTGAACTGGCCATTAGTCTGCAACATCTGAAACATGATAGGTGTGAGCTCAAAGTGAGTTGCCTTAATGTGTGACCTTAGTATTCCTGAATTTAATTGACTAAAAACAGGAATAACATAGTCCATGATTCCTATATCCCGAGAATCAGCAATATGTATGATGTTCTCCATAATAGTAACAGGTGGTAGAAAAATTAGCTTTTACAAATTTTACTTTAAAAGAAAAACTTTAGCGTGCCTTCCCCGRCAGAGCCAAAAACTTGCTTGTCGGTTTATTCAACCTTAGATTTCAACACAAAAATAGAACTCGGCGCAAGTATACACCTTGAACTACTGTCGTCTCATAACAAGTAATAATGGTAAAGTACCAGATATCGTTCCCACAGAGATAGCTTTGCAAAGTTATTCAAAAGTCCAGTCTATAAAAACTAATTTCTGATGGCGAAAYGAGTGATTTGATATATCTAAAATTGGGAGGTTTGATTAACAACTACAAAAATATCATTCTTAAAAAGAAGCACAAGGTGCAAAGGTTGATCAAGACATTAAACAAATGATTCAGCAAAAATGTGACGTAGCATTCCTATCACAATTATCTAAAATCAATAAATGATTTTATATAACTGTCACAGTATCAACTATCGGGTCAGACGGCCTCCCAA